TGTTTAGTTTCATCTGCTGTAATGAAAATGTACTGAGCCATGAATGTACTCGTGTTCTGGGTGTTGTTTTTTTTTTGTCTTTTGGAGTGGGGGGGGCGGGCTGTTACCAGTAGCTTTTCTAGCAACTTCTAATTAATATCTTATACAACAACATGTAAGAAACAAGAAAGTGGCTTTTTTTTTTTCCAGGATAGGGAGGGTACACTGTGAACTCCTGTCAAACGCCAAAACCTCAAATGCTTAGCCTTGGATAACAGCCTAGCAACTTCTGGCCCGGTTTCCAACCACGCTGGTTTCAACACCAGAACTGCAACTTATCTCAGGAAGGCAGATAAAGAGCTTTTGTCACAAAAATACTACACTAAAAGCCCCTATTATAGCTATGTGCAAAGCAAACGGAGTTTCAACAGTTAGCTGATGCTCAATTTCAATCCAAGCACTCACCACAGTATGGAATTTAGATTTTGATTCTGACTACCTCAGAGGAACAGGGAAGCTGTCACCTACAGCACAGTAATTTTAGGCATATTTGGAACAGGGTGTCCTTGAAAGAGAGAGAGGAGGCACCAAATTACTATATGCTAGCTGTGAAATTGCAATTTATACCTGCATCGCATGATGAAGACATTAAACAAAAGGATTTGACATTTCACACATTGTTAAAAAAATATTTTCAAAATCAAAATCAATCATGCAAGAGGCGGTGGGTGCAGTGGGGGAGTCTGTTAACCCTGTAACAGTGTTTGAGACACTTCTTCAACATCTACTAACATACAGCTACGTTAGTAATAGCTGCTCTGGCTCAACATGTCTCTTAGGACCATAGAGAGACAAGTCTTTCAGCTTATGTGCAGTACATGGTAATACACATGACACACAATAATGTATTTGAAGGATTTTTTTCACTGTTGCAAAAAGCACATGTGAAGCAAATAATGCAGTCATTGCACTTATATTAATTTTAACGCTAAAAATACCACAATCGTCACCATTGGCCTGGACAGATATTCCATGAGTCAGAAAAAAATAAGCTAACCAAGCAGGGAGGGGACCATAAGCAGCTAATTCTTTGCCTTTTCATTTAGGAATACGACACATTATAGGTCTGCTGATCTTCAAAAAGTGAACTCGTGGTGTGAACGCTTCCTTTAAAAATAAAATAAAATAAAAAAAATACAGATGCATTTTTGATTAGTATAACTAGTTTTTTGTCATCATGCAGACATGAAACTAACCAATTTTGCCACACCTCGTCATCACACATTGTCTGGAGCATTTTGCATAAAAATGGTTCATCCACAATGTCAGAAAATCTTAAAATAACTTCTAGGATTTGAATTTAAAGTAGCTGTTTGTATTTGTAAAACAACTTTCTGCAAATATAATAATTAAAATAGTCTTAAGACTAAGGAAAAAACATGTAATCATCCAAAAGTAGTTGAGAGTTAAAAGTTGCTTGACCAGAGAATGATGGCTTATGGGAAGATGAACAACAGAATTGTAGACAAAAAAACAAAAGAGATGCACGACTGATATTAACACAGTGCTTGCTACGATCAAGTAGGGTTAGTTTAAAACCAATGTAGCGATTCACAGCCCTATTTGTTACTGTGGGGATATCCGTTACCTAATATTAGTGCTTGGCACTTCACTGGTGCAACGAAAAATAGTTTGGCGGGATGCAGCGGGTGGGCAGCTGTCTTATTTTTCGTGTTCAGTCGTGGGACTCCACGATTACAATATACAGTGGAAGAAAACGCTAATATTTATAACGGAAAATAGTTGTAGAGCAACCGCGACTGTCTCCGTTGTCCTCAGATAACGTTATTTGGCTTGACAGTATCGTCAGCAGCAACGTGTGCAAAATACGGCTGTAAAAACTTATTTCCCTGAGCTTAACTGGCAGGAGGCAGCAAGAGTGCATACACTAAATACCAAATACACTGGAGTGGACATGATCTGCCTTTCAGTAGTTAGTTATAGCTATTGTTTGTCCAGCAAACTTGTCATGACTGCTGCAAGTAAGAGCGATGACGGCAGCGTCACAAAGCCTTGCAAAAAAACAAAAAAACAAAAAAAAAATGTCCCCACTCAAAGTGTTGGTCAACTTATCGCTCGCCTTTGCACAGGGCACACAGTGTTGCCACTAAATAGAGTATGCGTAGCTAGCAGTTAGCCTGCTAGCCAAAACACGGCCTTTCTTGGAACCAAACTGGGAAGCTCACAACAAGAATGGCTGTCTGGTTTGTTAATGTTAGCGGGCTAGCTAGCTAGGTTCGCCGAAACAAAACGGGTTCGGGCCTGTGATTTTGCCACGGTGTTTGGACGCATATAACTGGTATGACATCGTGTTGTTATTCGTGCATAAACTCAAAGCATTCGCCATTATCCTAATGATTTATGGTGGGGTTTCGTGGCAGTGCCTTTGAGATGAAAAAGACAACTGAAAGGGCTGAAAATGGGAAGTCAACACTTACCTAGCTTTACTTTCTACGCCATCTTGGATCCACTTGTCAGACCGTCATCGCAAAGCATAGTGGGATGTACAGATCTGAAGGTTGAGGGGACCGAAACGTGTGTTTGCGTGCGCGTCTATATGGCCCGTGATGACAAGCATCCTTTTTGTCATAGTAGTTCGTTTTATTCCTTGTAAGCACACACGTGGGACTAAAATTCAAGTAAAGTTAGTCTACGGGTCATTCTGCAGTTAGAGCACAATTTAGGAATCGTTTTTTAAAACTGGTCTTTTATTTCATAATTCTCTGTTATGTTTCTAAGAAAAACACATTAAAAAAAACATCAAAAATATAGATTTGTCCACCTCAGGTATCAAAAGTACACTTTTATGTGACATTTAAGTTGCTGTGTGCTATGCTTGGTACAGCTCACACCAATACTCTGGAATATGAAAAAGCATATTTTATAGCATATAATATACATTCTTAAGACTTAATTTATATTCATTTAAGCAACTTTTGAAATCTACGTTCCCCAATGTTTTCATTTAATTTCAGTATTTATCTCAAATACACTGTTCACACATTTAATAATGAGAATATTTTATATACTTTTAATATATTTAGAAAGTTTATTACACACACACACACACACACACACACACACACACACACACACACACACACATATAGAGATATATCTCTATATATATTGAGTATATATTGAATTGAGTAACATAATGGACTGCAACAGTCATGAATGATTGTGAATATATATATTTAAAAAAGGAAGGAAACACCAAAATTAATTTATCTTCTTTTTGTAATACAGGTAACAGTGCTGCATTGGTTAGAGTGACACAGTCTAGTCAGAAAAGATTGGAAAAATACAAAATTTGCCAAAGAGAACTGACCTTTGGACTATCCATAATATTATCACAGGACTTGTTCATATTACTTTATTACTTCTTTTTTGTCGCCTTCTAACTACTTTATCTTTTCCTTTTCCAGGCTAAATGGGCATAGTTGAACAAATGACCTGGGATACAATCACTCTTCTTTAAAGTATGTTGGTGTTTTAAAAAGTTGTTTAACAATTGTAACACACATGCCAACAAAATGAAAACAAAAAAGTGCGTTTATAACATTTTAATTGTTGTATTTGACATGCAATTCGGTTATTAAGAAGTTGTGATAAGAGAAAAATGCCATTTTCTTTTGGGGGAGGGGTTTCTCAAGAGTTATTTTATATTTTAAATAATAATTTTGGAACCACTTTATCAACAACTAGGTTTACATTTTGTCCCAGGACAGATATAATTAACCCCCAAATGCATGTTTTAATATCTTATAGATATTTTCAAATTCATGAGTGGGACAGACAATGTTCTACAACTGTAGGATTGACTCCTATATGTCTGAAAATAGCTGGGATAGGCTCCAGCGCCCCCCGCGACCCTGAAAAGGATAAGCGGAAGCGAATGGATGGATGGATGGATGTCTGAAAATATAAAATCTGAAATGTAGCATTACGGTTTAAAAAAGAAATCTGCATCAAATTATGTTTATTAAACTAAAAAATTTAGTATAAAACTAAAAAGCATTTTGAGTTTATGACATTTTAGGAACGTCACTTATCTTCCCTTAACCTAAAGGTATTTTTCCTCATCCATCCAGTCAAGCCTTTTATAACTCTCAGGGATGTACAATGATATGAGCCGATTTTGTGACACAGATGAGGTGTTTCTAATAAATCCAATCAAGTCCTCGAGGTGACCAAAATTAATCCATTTGCTTCATAGAACATATTTAAAAAACCCGAAATGACCACACACACAACAATAAGTGGTGTGTGTAAGATTAAACTGTGATGTATTGAAAATATCCACAATAATAACATTTGAATCTTTATGTTGACTTGCCACATTACATTGTGGACATAAAAAAAGAGGGAAAATATAATTGAGCTAGTTAAAATTGTATTTTCCGCACTCATAAGCCAAGAAATGAGGGCACATACACATAGTAAGTAAAGCACAGAGGTAATTGCTATGATTAAAAGTAGTTTTCCATTCAAATAAGAAGTTCCAGTATTCTGCTATTATGCATGCTAGCTCATTGTTATGGCACCCCTGACATTTTATTATCCCGAGCCACATTTAATGTCATTAGTTCTACCTGTGCTTTTGTGCTATTACCACTCAAAATGCCTACTGTGGTGTTTACTGGTGCACAACTGGATGCCAACAATTTCTTTGTCAATATATCTGCTGGTGGAAAAAATCTTTTTATGTGGTGTATGAATGTGTCAAACATTTCATTTTGGGCCCCGTGGAGATTAAAATCAAAGTGAAGAGAGGGATCTGCAATCTGGATAACCCATTGTAATTAAAGCATCGGCACATATTATTCATTGAACTTTGTGCGCTGTACGCCCTTGGTGTTTTTCACATTAATCCTTTTATCACCTACTATGCACTCATGTTTTCATGGTTTGTCATAATAGAATCAATGTAAGTCAGGCTACAATAACACCTACATATATAACTGTTAACCAAATGTCAGAAGTTTATTGTTTACATTGCTAGATGTACATTGAAAGCCAGGTTTTTATAAAGAAACAGAGGCTAAACTACTGTATATATTACATCAAATGGCAATGTGTAACACTTTGAATATCCAGTCCAGAGTGAGATGCAAAGGATAAGTGTTTGCATGTTCATGTGTGTTGAAGACTTTTTTTTGCTAATTCTATCACATTGGAATTAGATTGCTTTCACAGGCTGCCATTATACTGTGTAGTCAAAAACATTTCCACAGAGGGAAAAACAAAATATGAATCAAAACATAAACATTTCACTGCAGATTATGAATCATTTCCTCCTTGGCAATGAGATGTGTGGTCTTGTTGACCAGAGACATAAGTGAGTTGAGTTTGTGTGACCAGTCGTTGAGCAGGTCATTGGGGTCTTTGGGCCGCTGAAAGTTGATGATGCCAGCCAGCCGGTCAACCTTGGCGTAGATGGTCTTGTTTACAACTAGGCTGGAGAGGAACTCCTCCGACTCCTGATAAAGTATTTAACGAGAGAGAGAGACCTGGGTTAGTGCCTCTTATTTATAGTTTTTGAGTGTAACTCGGCAGTTCCGAGTTACACTCAAAAACTACATTTAAATGAGTTATTTAGCTATATTGTTTTACTTACATCAACAGAGAGGTCAAGAAGGTTAGCCATCCTTTTCATTGTGATTCTCGTGTAATATTTGGCCATTATTCGGATGTTCTGGGGACAGCAGAAAACACGTGAAAATCATATCACGGTTATCAGTGCACATACAATGTACCTAAATATAAGAGCCAGACAGTTTATCCACTCAATCTGCATAAAGCTTCAGATTCATCTTTATCTCAGTTGCCTCCATCGTATTTCTATTGTATGTCCAATTGTGTTCCATTTAGTCCTATTACATATTAATGATCAAGGAACTGACCTCACAGCCCATTGTTCATTCAGTGGGTTAAATTCAGTCATTGTGCAAATGTAGTGTTTATAAGGCTGGGGAAACCTGCAGTCAGCTGAGACTGAAGAAGTCACTTGGATGACTGACAAAATGTTTCTCCCACTGAAAACGCTACGTCCAGATGAAGAGAATCAACCTTCTGGGATTAGTCCTTGTATCTATTTAAATTGAACTCAGTCTCTTGCTCATTATAAGAAAAAAAGGTTTTGAATGGTCCTGCCAACTACTTTACTTTAGTAAAAAACGAGGGGAAAACATGTCACCCACTGACAAGTTTAAAACTAAGAAAGCACTCAGAAAACCGTCAAAACTAAAACAAGTCTAACAAAGTGTCACAGTTGTGTGTTCAAACTCCAAGTGAGAAGCCCCTGCTCTCGACAATAGGACTTACATGCTCGACCACTCTATTCTTCAGGTCCTTCCACCTTTTCTCCCCTTCCTCTGTATAAGAGAAGACATCTGTTGCAGGGCTGTTGGGTGATCCGTCTCTCAGCTCTTTCCCATAATCCTCCACCAAGGAGGCCCAGCGCATTAACTCCATGGTAGTGAACTGTTTCAGAAGGTCCCTGGGACAAGAAGAATATTTATTAACAACCCCTCCCAATAAAACTTGTATCTACACCTTGCTACGGAGAGTACACACCCAGTATCAACATATGTGAACATTGCTGTGGTTAGCTCTCCCAAGTAGCTTAGGAAAAAGTACTGCCTTGAATTGTTTTGTTGATTTGTTTGGATTGTTTGATTACGTAATTATGTAGGAAAACAACGGCAAAAGAAGAAAAATGAAGCAAAACACAGTACAATACTGCTCCTCTTTTTTTGACTCAGTTTACTTATCTGAAATAAGTGGGAAGAAGTGCACACTTATTTAATCACATTCTTCCTTCATAAGATACTATTTAACCAACTTAATTATTGTTATAAACCTCAACAACAACAACAACAACAACATTATAAACACTTCCAATAACACAGAATATAAACAAAATGAAATACACAAAATAATAATCTGATCATCTTATATTTACAACTCCATAAGTTCACATCTGCACATGAAAGCCAAGTAACTCCACTTAGGGAATGTTAATTACAAAATCCAAATAAGCACAAAGTAACAACCAGAGACATTCACTGAAATTCAACATTGTCCCCTTCTTTACATCTCTTGAGGACCATATCCATACCATACCTCTCTTTTTGACCTGCTTCATGTTTGGACACTGATTCAACCTTTAACTGTCTGACTCCACACACTCAAACTAGAACTTTTCCTGGTAGTATACACCTTCCGTTTTGAAGTTGCAAAAACCCCTTAAATTATAACTTCATTCTCTCAGAAAAAATGCTTTGAATATTTCCTGGTAGCTGATTATGTTTTGCTCTTAAAAAAAAAAAAAAAAAGTGCTGTCCAGAATTTCACAAGATCTACAAATTTTAATCATTTAATCTTTAAAAATAGTCAATTTATAAAGTCCTTGTAACCTGAATTGTAAATGATCATTACTGCCTTTAAAATAAATAA